TTGTTTCAGAGGCTCCTGGGGCATATGGCATCTGCAGCCGCGGCAACGCCACTCGGATTGCTTCATATGAGACCGCTTCAGCTGTGGCTTCGCGATCGAGTCCCGAGGTGGGCATAGCATCATGGCACGCTCCGAGTCCCAGTGACTCCGACCTGCCGTCAGACCTTCACCCCGTGGAGGAACCTCAGTTTTCTACGGGCCGGAGTTCCCCTAGAACGAGTTTCCAGGCATGTTGTTGTCTCCACAGATGCCTCGTCCACGGGCTGGGGCGCCATGTGCAACGGACATGCTGCCGCGGGCTCCTGGACAGGACCCCAGCGCCTTCTGCATGTCAATTGCCTCGAGTTGCTGGCAGTACGCCTTGCCCTGCACCGTTTTCGAACGTTGCTCAGGGGTCAACACGTACTAGTCCATTCAGACAATACAGCGACAGTAGCGTACATCAACCATCAAGGTGGTCTACGCTCCCTCCGTATGTCGCAACTCGCACGCCACCTCCTCCTATGGAGTCAGAAGCACCTGAGGTCCCTTCGTGCTATCTACATTCCGGGAGATCGCCCATCTCCAGCGAATGGCGACTCCATCCCCAGTCGGTCCAGCTGATTTGGGACCAGTTCGGGGACGCACAGGTAGACCTGTTTGCCTCCCACGACTCATCCCACTGCGCCCTGTATTACTCCCTGACCGAGGGCACGCTCGGCACGGATGCACTGGCGCACAGCTGGCCGCGGGGCCTCCGCTTATATGCGTTTCCCCCAGTGAGCCTTCTCGCACGGACCCTGTGCAAGATCAAGGAGGAAGGACCTCCTTTCTCAGAGACGGGGCACCCTATGGCACCCTCGTCCCGATCTTTGGAACCTCCACGTGTGGCTCCTGGACGGGACGAGGCAGGTTTGAGTACCCTGCCACCAGCGGTGGCGGCTACCATCACTTCCGCTAGAGCATCGTCCACGAGACATGTCTATGCGTTGAAGTGGAACCTCTTCGTCAACTGGTGCTCTTCTCACCGAGAAGACCCCAGGAGATGCTCGATCAGTGTCGTGCTTTCCTTCCTGCAAGATGGGTTGGAGCGAAGGCTGTCTCCCTCCACCCTGAAGGTGTATGTGGCCGCTATCGCCGCATATCACGAAGCAGTTGAAGGTAAGTCTCTTGGAAAGCACGACCTGATCATCAGGTTCCTGAGAGGAGCGAGGAGACTGAATCCTCCTCGCCCTCCTCTCGTTCCCTCTTGGGACCTCTCAGTGGTGTTAAATGCCCTGCAGAGGGCTCCCTTTGAGCCTCTGCAATCAGCTGAGCTTAAGTTCCTGTCAATGTGGACAGCGCTCCTGGTTGCATTGGCCTCCATCAAGAGGATAGGGGACCTGCACGCATTCTCCGTTGACGAAGCGTGCCAGGAGTTCGGGCCGGGTCACTCTCACGTGATCCTGAGACCCCGGCCTGGATATGTGCCCAAGGTTCCCACCACTCCCTTCCGGGACCAGGTGGTGAACCTGCAAGCGCTGCCCCGGGAGGAGGCAGACCCAGCCTTGGCACTGCTCTGTCCAGTACGCACTCTCCGTGCTTACGTAGACAGGACGCAGTGTTTCAGGACCTCAGTCCAGCTCTTTGTCTGTTATGGTGGGAAGCTGAAGGGAAAGGCTCTCTCCAAGCAAAGGTTGTCTCACTGGATAGTGGACGCCATTGCTTTGGCATACCAGCAGCAAGCTCGACCGTGCCCCCTTGGTGTGACCGCCCACTCCACCCGGAGTGTGGCGTCCTCTTGGGCTTTAGCGCATGGCGCCTCGCTAACAGACATCTGCAGAGCTGCAGGCTGGGCGACACCTAACACATTCGCCAGATTCTACAATCTCCGAGTGGAGCCAGTCTCCTCCCATGTACTGTCTTTTTCAAGCTAACATGGGAGCCGTTAGGTGTCTTCGCTTGCTCGCCATTCCACTCCACGGACTGGATACATGCGATATTTCCTCAGGTGAGCCTTCCTCTCTGAAGCCCTGAGTTCCTCCAGCACTGTTGACGCTGGAGCCAGTGTCTATTGCCTGTGCGTTGGCTAGGTGCCTCCGTGTGCATGGTTCCTCCTCTGAGTAACCCCCACATGTGTATTTCCACTGTAAGCCTCTTTGAGCATGTGTCTTTCCCTCGGCAAGCCACCTTGCCACTCCTGGAGTTGAAAGTCACTCCAGTGTTCCTCCATATGAAGCCCCCCTCGGGCCATATGTGTATTCTTAAGTCCTCCCTACGGGTAGGCATGCTGTGGCATATCTCCCCTGAGATATGCTTCCCAGTGTACCTTGGTATTCCTGTGTTAAGTAGGACTCCTTCGTCCGTGCCTATATTACGACAGGGAGGTCAGACTTCGCAGGGCACTGGAAGACAGCTGTGAAGGTGGCGTGATTACACGGGGACCCCCATTCTCCGTCATCCGACGTAACTCGGAGTGACTACGAAAGGGAACGTCTCGGTTACGGTTGTAACCCTCGTTCCCTGAGTAGGGAACGGAGACGTTACGTCTCCTTGCCACTTCCGCTGTACCGCTGGGTAGACGCCTGAGTTCAGTCTCGTACCGCTGGGTAGCCGCCTGAGTTCAGACGAACATCGCTCTGCATAAGTCATCTCTCCTTCATCGCTCTGATTGGTTTTAGGTCTATCCAATTGTGCCTAGAGGCATTTGAGCTATGTCCGTTGGTGACGCCCCTTTGGAAATGATTCGTCTATGAAGCTTTCCCAGACCATAACTCAGTTACAACTGAGAATGGTCTGGTTTTAAAGAACTACAAACGGAGCACAAAAAGAACTACAAAATTCGACTGCTTTACGGCATACGTCCCTTCCCCCCACCACTTCCTAAAATTGTCTGTGGCCATTGCAGACATCCCAAGTCTCCCGGGAGTCTCCCGCATATTGATAGCGTCTCCCTGATGCCCGCAAATTAGTTCAAATCTCCCGGAATCTAGAGCGAGCATTCGAGACAGAACCTACTGCGCGCATAACATACATAGCGCGCGCACGGCAGAGAGGGAGAGGGCGAGAGACCTTGCGAGTGTGCCTCACAAAAAGCTAGTCAACAATCCAGTCACCAAGATATACCTCCCTGAAATGGCTTCTTGCAGGTTGGGATGTCTGCCATTGTTGATTCCAAAGCCGGTGCGGGATAAACAGCTAGCGTGCGTGTGACTTTAGACTGCGGTAGGCTAAATTATTTACGACAGCGGTAATGGACAATTCCGTAGGGCGGCCGAAGAGGAAAAGTTCCTTGGTGTTGCTTCAATGCGCATGTGAACGCCATCAGCGTTTATCAGGTTCGCGTTTAAAGTCTGTTTAGAGAGAACGGTGTCGTCTTAGCGGCCCCTAATTTAATAACAAATGATCATTTCATCGGAAGTGAATCAATCAAAACTACCTTTAGCTGGAAAATAACATTATTCAAGAACCGCTATAAAATCAAACCAATTGTGTTACCTTAAATTATATTAAGTTTATCTCTGTAAAGCTGCTTTGAAACCATCTACATTGTTAAAAGCGCTATATAAATGAGGATGACTTCACTTGACTTGACTTGACTTTATGCCTTTCTGAAACGCGTAGATTTTTACAAAGTTCAGCGATCTGAAAAGTGCGTTGTCTTCTGATTGGCCAGCGATCCAGTGCATTGTGATTGAAATCCTTTCCATATTTGAAACATCAGATCCCAAAGGAATAATGACAGGTGATAATGTAGGTAGGTACTTATCAATTTGAGCCTGAATCTGATCCAGAAAAAGCAGATGACCAAGCTGATCGATCAACTTTGCCAGCGAGACTGGACCAGGTCGTATCAGATTGGTAATTTCATTGGGGAGTGGACATAACTGATTATAATAACGCGAATCGTTTTAGGAAGGCGTGGCTGAGCCTTAACTTTTATAAAGAATATATTTTTAGGTTTGACACTTTGAGTTTTGTAACTCTGCAGATCTTAGGCTACTTGCACAAACAGCTACATAACACACTAAAGAAAAAGGAAAACAAGAAAATCGCATCATATGATCCCTTTAAAAAAAAGGGGTCATAATTACAGAAGAAATTTTGAAAATATTGGACAAAGGTTGTGAAGTCAAAAAGAACCGCTGTTCTAAACGGTATATATTTGTATACACACACATAAGAATGAATCTAGAGAGAGAGATGTGTGTGTGTGAATTAGGCCTACCTACTATATATAGGCTATATACACACACACACATACATTATATATTAGTATACTATTATACATAATGTTCAATATGATGGCTGTACACTGCTAAAAATGGTATTGCCATCTATAGTTCCACAAAGAAACTTTAGCATCCATGGAACCTTTTCAGTGCACAAAAGATTATTTATAGTGGAAAATATTTAGATTATTAATGTTCTTTACACCAATAATAATAAAAAATGGCTCTTTTAAGAACTGATTACTGAAAAGTTCTTAGGGGAACCCAAAATGGTTCTTGTTTGTCATCGTTACAAATCCCTCCCCTTTTGGAACCTTTGTTTTTAAGAGTGTATGAATGTATGACCCAACTTTTTGATCATTTGTTTCCTCTAAAATGTATACGCCTATACACATTAGCTGGACCAGCCTGAAAATGACTGCAAGTGATTTGAGCATAAGAAAAGGATGATATTTTATCTTGTTGAAATGAAATACACTAAAGAAAGAATCATGAAAAACACTTTTTGGACATTTCAGTCTTTGCCCGTTTAATTAAGCAGAAGTTTTCCTTGCAGATTAAAGTAAGCTGATTGGGAGGACAATCCTGAGACACACTGAGGTGCTGCTATACTTTCTCAATCCATGACACAGCTCTTCTGTACTTCCCTGTTTTTGTAGTATAATCTATATTGTGAAAATGAAAGTTAAATTTGCAGATCATATGTTATGAAATTAGCATGACATTCATTCATCACTCCCATTGCGAGAGTTTTAATAATGGTATACATTACAATGTTTCCTATGAAAAAATAAACACTCAGACACAGAGTGTAGGCGTTTGTGCAGCGCCCCTGCTGGAGTGCATTGGTAATAACTTTATTGCAAAAATACAAGTTCACTCAACCTCAAGCATTTACAAATGAGTCCCGAAATGGAAAACCCTTGAAATGCCATTTCATCTTCGAGAAATCCACCTCTCACTGGCTACAACTCGCATTCAAAGGCTGTTAACTGTACAGACATTAATAAGTAAATATTCAACAATTCAGCAGAAAATCATTTTCTTCCTCAGTATATAGGAAACGAAAAGAAGAAAAAATATTTGATTTTGTCCCAGTCTGACTCTTTGCTGGTAGATCAGGAGAGAGCATTTTGCATAGCATACTCATACACCATCTTTGCTACATTCTCAAACATCCTTTAAACAAAAGGAAAGATGAATAGGCTAAATGACGACAAAAAAAAAAACAACCAAAAAAACATATCTTTGTGTTAGAGCCAATCTTTGGTTAAGACAAAGTTAAATAAGATCTATTTCTCTTTAAGTTATATATTTTATAATAAATTTTATTTTAGCACTCAAAGGCTTTTAATGAAAAAAGGTACATATCACAGCACAATATGATTAGAATTAAAAGTTAAATACTGCATTAATCATATTATATTGTGATCCGACATCTGTTGGTGAGTATTAGATTTTCGTTAATATATCTCACAAATCTTATGTTTATTTGAATAACAGTATGAAAGCATTCCTTGCACAAGGCCACTTATATACTGTCCAAATTTCAGTCTAGTGAAGCTTTGCATATAAGCTTCATGTACGCTATCAGGGCCAAAACATTCTTCAGCTGTGTCGCTTTAAAGTAAAATCTAGAAATAATGTAGATTCTACAAAATCGAAACCCTCAACTATTACAGGCCTGAAGATCCATCATGTGCCAGACTCACGACTGTGGTTTCAGTGTCACTGCAAGTTAAAATAAAAATCGAATCAAGTAAAATAAACAATAAAAAGGAAGCTTAACTTGGCATATCTCCCTGTATAAACGGGAGAACTGTCAATGGAATTAAAATAGCAGAATTTCTCCAGCTTTACACTTCTGAAGTGTACTATACTTGTCTTAATGCAGATAATAATTATTACCACTAGAATTGATTAACATTCCATAACGTCATTACGTAGTTTCTCCATTCCTCTGTATATTTCTTAGGATGTCATAGTTTTTTATTAACAATAAATTTATTTATTAGTGTATGTTCAGTCAAACATGTACACAGTCTTTGCCTGTAACACGAGACACAAAACAGCTGTGTGCTACAGGGAATGCCCGTATCAGAGAAGTAGGAGGAAAAAGGTTAGAAGAGACAGTCTCGTTCCGTTCTCCACGCCAGGGCCGCAGATTTACATGCCTGCTCCGACAAAAAGCACCAGAGCTGAGAGATGACACCGTACAAAACATCTCTATTCACTTAGTACAGGATAAAGTACTTAGCATCTACATGACATTAACCCACCCGCTACCAAAAAAAAGTTTGCAGGAGAGTTGGGAAAAATAGTTCCGCAAAGCGACAACGATTTCCGGGACATTGGTTTGCAGAGGATTTGCATCTGTGGGACAGGCGAGGAGGAAGGGTAAAGTGTGTTTTTTCATACACTACTGGTCAAAAGTTTGGATTTTTCTTTTTTTTTTTTATGTTTTTGAAAGAAGTCTCTTATACTCACCAAGGCTGCGTTTATTTGATAAAACCTAGTAAAATCAGTAATAATTGTGAAATATTATTGCAATTTACTGTTTTCTTCTGTTGTACTGTTTTCTGAAAATACATTTTAAAAAGTGATTTATTCGTGTGATGGCAAAGCTGAATTTTCAGCAGCCATAATTCCAGTCTTCTGTGTCACATGATCCTTAAGAAATCATTCTAATATGCTGATTTGGTACTCGAGAAACAAAGTAGCACAACCATTTTTAATATTGACAAGAAATGTTTCTGGAGCAGCAAATCAGCATATTATAATGATTTATGAAGGATCATGTGACACTGAAGACTGGAGTAATGATGCTGTAAATTCAGCTTTGCCGTCAATGGAAAAAAAGTTATTTTAAATTGTAATAATATTTCACAAGTTTTTTTTACCGTTTTTTACTGTATTTTTGACCAAATAAATACGGTCTTATTGAGCATAAGATATGTCTTTCAAACATTAAAAAAAAATCCTAATTATTCCAAACTTTTTACCGGTACTGTAAAAGTTAAAGAGGGCAGAGTTACAATAAGCCCCTCCCCTTTTACTACCCAACACATGCACACACGCATACACACAAACACACATTTACTGTTTAGTGCAGCATGGAGGTACAGTATGATTCTCCTCTGCAGTTAATTAAACATTTTAGTTAATTAAGTTAAGTGCTCTGGGTTGGATGGCTCACTGCGGGGGATCCGGGTTTGGACCCCACGCTCCTAACATTGCATGCTGCAGGTCTGACCATAGGTTAGTCATACACACACACCTGAGCCCCAAAGCATCACACCATACCAGTGCTTGTGGAAAAAAAGAAGAAAAAAAAAGTTGGTTTCTGTGGCTCTTTCCAGCATGCTGTGGATCGAGTTTTGGGGCCTTTTGCATGGAAAGAATTACCGACTAGAGCAGGGTAATGAAAGAACATCACCCAAGGACCAATACAGAGCGCAGGGTGACTGAGGATGGCATCAGGTCTCGGGAAGTGCTCCTTCCAGTTCTCCAAGAAACTGTGAAGAGAATGGGATTGGTGTGCAGAAAGGTTGTCCAGAGGAAGAAATCCATCTGTGGAAACCTTCCAGGGCTGGAGGACATGGTTGCATCCAAAGCCAATTGGTTGGGACACCTCAGTGCTGGACCGTAGTGCTTCCCACTGGAGACAGTTTGACGCCCGTCAAACACAGCCAGAAGCTTGGAGAACCTCTGGAGACGTCCTGCAGTGGGGTAGGATGGAGTGTGAAGGACAGGATCCAGACCAATCAAAGAAAAAAAAAGCAACAACAAAAGAGGAGCTCCTTCAAACAGCAGTAAGGAAACAAAAATGAAGCAAATGCAGAATGTTTAGCAGGGTGGCCACTGGAGCCTGGACTCAAATGCAATGCAATGGCAGGAACATGAATGCGGAACAAGCGGGAAATGGCCATTTGAATGGAGGAGGTGGTCATGGAAATGGAAAACGAGAGTTAGCTTTACCTGGGACCTCTCTGCAAGGCCCAGGCTGCTGAGACAGAGGTGAAGATGATGGAAGGAGATGAAGATAGCTGGGCTGGAGCAGATGGAGGTCTGAATGAGACAATGGAAACTGAAGGCAACTAGGTGAGTACATGGAGCTGTGATATGGCGAAACCCCGGAGTCCCCCAGCTAGGTACACACACAAAACATACAGACATTGATATGCACAAGGCCGAGAAATCACACAAGTGCATTCAGTCAAAAGAGAGAAAAAGAGGAGAAGAGAGGGGTAAGATGGGGAGAGAGGAAAAGATGGGGAGCACAAAAGTAAGGCATGAAAAGAATCAGGGGCCTCATTTATAAAATGCACATAAGATCAGATCTGATCCCAAGTCAAAAATGAGATACAAATTGAGATTTATTAAAGGCATAGTTCACCCAAAAATGAGAACTCTGTCGTCATTTACTCACTCTCTTATGGTGTCAAACCTGTATGACTTTCTTTCTTTCTTCCTTCTATGGAACAAAAGAAGATATTTTGAAAAATTTGGGGGGGGGGGGGGGGGGGGGGTGTTGTTTTTTTAATTATTTATTTGTCCATACAATGTTTTGTCACTGACTTTCATTTTAAGGACAAAAACAGTTCATTCTTCAAAATATCTTCACTTGTGTTCCACAGACGAAAGAAAGTAATACAGGTTTGGAATGACGAGAGGGTGAGTAAAGGATGTCTGAATATCCATTTTTCGGTGAACTATACTTTTAAAAGCAGAAACTGATGTGAAAATGTTCTTACACGAACAGCAAGTGAAAAGCAGCTGTACAAGCTTTTTTTGTGCTCATGCACTGGTATGCCAGCCAGTGCACGCTGACATGATTTTATAATGACTTTCAATGATGCAATGCAATGAGTGAATAAATGAATGAAATGAGTAACCACTTGTATCTTAATATTTAATATGCAATATCAATATTCAATATCAATCCACGTTCTGGCCGTACTATACATACTGTATATATTTCAGATATCTTATTAATCTTATTTTATATCTTTGTTTTTTACAAACCTAAAAAAATAACATAAATAAAATAAATAAATAAATGCAATAATTCTACATTTATAAAAGGTAATGTTGAATGACAAGGAATTATTTAATTAAATTATTAGGAATGAAAAACATAATAAATGGCAAAAATTGGGGCTGGAGAGTAGTAAAAAAACAGTCCTATTTATTTAGAATATAATCATGCATACAGAAATTCTCTAATAGCTGTGCACTCTCTTTGGGAGCAAGTAAAACTCTTTTCAGAATTAAGGTTTAATGAGAACATGGCCTTAAAAAAATAATGTGCACGTAAACATGATGAATTAATGAATCTAAAATTAATAATAAAAATGTATCACTGACAGGATAATGAACTGAAAATGTAGATACACAGTATGGGCAGAAAACTAGGATGTAGTAAGGTGGATCTAATAAACCATGTTTGATTCATTACTTCTTTCATATGCGCTCATTCATGTAATTAAAATTTAAAAATGATTAATAGAGCATTAATCATTAATAATGGATAATAGTGTATACAAACGTATAAATATTTGGGAAGATGATTACATGCATGTCTTTATAAATGGGACACCAGGCCTCTTTTCAAATGTAGTGAAGTTACAGCATATGGACACAGGATGGCAGCATGACTCAGTAAGACAACAAGAAGTTTTGCATGTTTGTGATTGCCTTCAATGTGTTGGTGCACATGGATGTCATGTGACAATCCAGTTATGCATTCATATATTTCCGGCATACAATACATATTAGAAATGAATGAATGCCAAAACAACACACTATGTACACCAAGTAGTATGCAAAGTTTGTAAAACATGTAAATGAATATGAATTGTACATAAAATAACCTGAAGCTCAGCAGTGATCGGCAAGGGTCAGGCAGCACACATTTATCAGGCTAAAGTGGCAGTAGCTGCATGTTAGCAATCTCCTGCATAGGTGACAGCGCTCTTATCAGGTTTCTAGGGCAGTATCTGATCCCTCACTCTCCTTTGGCCCTCTACCAAACTCTTGCCAGTCACTAGCCCAACTATTTCACTCATATTTTAGCCATTAGTTAGCTCCACAGATGAAAATAAGCCAGTCGGAGTTCCTTTTAGTCTTATTCATGCGTGGGATACTTACGAAGCTTCGGGAGACAGCAAGTCGGTTTTGGCGTCTCCCTATCGCAGTTCCACTCAGGCTGCGAGCAATACGGCGCAGGTGATCTGCATCATACTGGTCTTCCTCTCCTGACTGCAGCTCTTGATGGGCCACTGACAGGGACTACAGACAACAAAGAGTTACAGCAGCAAAAAAGAAAGTCTGGATGAAACCAGACACAACACCCAAACAAAATCAACACGTGCTAACAGATTGTGTGCTGTATGAAAAACAGACTCTGATGTGGAGAGAAACCAGACATAACAAAAACAAAGCGAAGAGACAGCAATGCCTCATTAAAGAAGCAGCAAATAATAAACAAACAAAATAAGTAAATAAAACCTAGATTATTTACACTAATGTCGGGTAGCATCTACTGCTGCCCACATACTGAATTTTACACACATACCCTCATACGATTTTAGCCCTTAATTTTGCACTTGTCGTAAGTTAATGGAAAAGACACAAAAACCTGAAATCTGAAGCAAATGGGGAAATGATCCGATGCGTTGCAGATGCCTGAGCACGTTGAATATCTAGACCTGTCTGCGATGTCCTGCAGTGTTTTGACTTGAACTGACATCAGTGACCAGAGATAAGTAGTGTAGTTAAAAAAGAACAGCAATTTCAAAAATCATATAGTGTATGGACAGCAGGAGTAGTACCAGAAATTCGGGACATGAGACTCCATGATAAATTAAAAAATGCAGAGAAAGAAAATACCCATAATTTGAAAAATGATTCCTGGTCAGTTTCGCAATTAGACCTTCAGACAGGTGAGCAGTACCTCATTTCTTACCATGTTTGTGTATCCAGTAGGGCTGCTACAACCTGGTGGTCCATAAGCGGTTCTCTCGAGCTCAGCCGTGGGGGTTCGGGAACGTCCAACTCCAGTGAGCAGCTTTCGTGCAGCAGGAGGTACTGTGCGAGAAAATCAAGGCAGAGTCAGTGGATAAAATTACCAGTACAACCTTTTGATGATTGCTTCTAAAATCTCTGTGAAGTCCAATTTCTAAAGCGGATTTACAAAACGTTTATCCATTAAAGATGGGACAGTTCCCACTTTATTTGGACCAACTTGCTCCTCAGGATCACAACCTGTAAGTACGATTAATTATTGATGTATATATATATTTACCGGGAGTTCAAAATACATATTTTTGTGTTTTATATTGTGTAGGTCTCCGGCTTACTCACGTTATTACTGTCTTACTGAAATAGTTCTGCTAATAAGATTTGGACCAACTATTACAGTACGTAAAATTGCGTCCATTTATCCAGATTGTCTGTTGTTGTTACTTTAAGTAATGATAAAGGATGGAGCAAGATTTGTTTTACAAATTTTAATGTTACATCAGTCATTCACTTTAGTGGTCAGCTATTGATAAAGTTCCCACATGTGCACTGCAATAAATTAGAAATATACACATCGGTTTGTTGATGGACATACACTTGTTAATGCTGATGGTGAGGAATTACAGTTGCAACATCTCATAATGTACATCAAACTGAGTAGCGTATCACTGAGAGACGTCCTGCTCAAGTCGTCCAAGCTGAATAACTAGCTCTTCTGATGTCTCATCATTGGTCTCGTGCTCGGATTGATATGCTAAAATCGACCCCTCATTACTGTCTATACAGTGTGTACAATCGCTGAGCTTTAGGAAGCCACAAGAGCTAAAATTCAGTTACGGTAATGGGCGTTTCATTTCTGACACATGCTGTAAACAGTAGACCAATCGAACAGAAAGGGGCATCTGGCCAATCAGAGCAGAGCAGGTTCGTGGAAAGGAGGGATGTAGAGACACTTAGATAGATGTGAGGAGACAGGGTGGTGGAGGGATGCAGAAAACTGTAGAGGAACATAGGTGAGTTGGCTGTGTATATATAGGCCTCCTCCCGTACTGATTAGATAGGCAATTTGAACGTGTTCCTCCCGAACTTTGTTAATAAAACATCATTAAAAGGACTGGACTTCGACCACCAAAAAAAACACCAAGACAATCTAAGACTTTAATTTACCTTGTCTCCCAACAGCAGGTGAGCTGGTACCACACAGGGCTCGGCCAGGACCCGGGCCAGCCTGGAGACTAGCCTGGTAGAGTGAGTCCAGTTCAGAGAGTTCCTGGTCCTCTGCCGCTGTGGGTTCCAGCTCCATGCTTTGGAAGTTTGAGTGCTTAGAGATGTTCTTCTTCCTGGTGCTAATGGGACTGTGAGGAGCAAGGTGTCTTCCAGGTGTGTGTTGATAGAGAGCGGTTCCTGTCCGCTGGTTCTGGTCAGGTGGTGTGTCGTAGGGGGTGATGACAGCATCAGGGCGGTCTAGGCTCCAAGAGGACCAATGACGGGCAGCAACAGGAGGGGTCAGTTTGGAGCAAGGCTGGGAAGATGCAGACAGGGGCTGCCATATGGGGGCTCGTCGGGGCATTGCCCCCTTCTCATCAACAGGGACAGGTGGTGGACTGGTGGCCCGGCTGGATTGGGGTATCCGGTCTAGACAATCTGCAGTGCCCTGCCACAAAGGAGGATTTGGAGATTGAGAGAACGAAGCTTGAGGGTGCTGACAGCTGGAGATCTCTTCGTCCTCTCCCAAAACACCCCAGAAGTCAAGGGGCAAAGAAGGTAGAGATATGGCCAGGTGCTTGCGTATGGGCATGATCCGAATGCCTGATGCTTGGAGAACATCTGATAACCTGATGCCACCCCATTCCTCCTTATTCTGGGTTGACCAACTGCTACGTTCATCTGGCTCTTGGGGTTGCGCCTGAGAAGAGGCAGGCCGAGGGTTGAGCGATGGGTGGCTAGAGGACTGAGATGGGGAGTTTGTACAAGAGGAGGGTGATTTCATGTGTTGAGGAGAGGGTGGGCCAAGCACAGAAAACTGATTGGTCTCCCAGACCTCTTCCTGATTGTCTGTCAACAATACTTGGTCCGGGCCAGGGTGTTCACTGCAGAGGAAAGAAGGGTGAGAGAAGGATATTGGTTAGACACTGGCTGAAAAAAACAAATGAAATCAGTAGTCATGTTCAACATTATCACTCAAAATTAATGTCACAATTAATTTCATTAATGGCATAATTAAAATACATTAATTAAATGAATTACATTTAAAGACATTTATTTAAATTAACCATGTTTAATGTTACATTTTGTACTTAAAACATTAAGGGTTGAAATTACTTCATACCAGTGTTGTCATTGTTTACTAAAACTATTTTAAATGGTTTTCTTAGTTGAAAGAAAGCTAATAAAACACATTTCATGAAAAACTAGCTGCCAAGGCAACACGTTTTTTAAGTTAGAGTTTGAGCAATAATAAATTACTAAAACTGAAAGAAAAATATTTTAAAAAGACAAAAACTACTGAAAATATAAAATATAAAAGTATATAAATAATACTAAGGTAACACTGATTAACACTTTTGTATTATGTGAGATGAAATGCTTGTTTTTGTCAGTAAATCACCCTACATTATGTTGAAGGACATAACTTTGTACACCTTGATTTCCTTGTGCATAAAATGTGCATTGTACATGTGCTAAAAGGTTGAACTTTTTATAGATAGTCACACATAAAATTCACATACACATCTGATATATATTTTATACTACTAAGAGTATGCACCATGTATTCATTCACAGAGGCAAACAATTTGTAAAACAATTTGGAATATTTGTAAAATTGAACCTCAAAGGGTAATACAAAACAATACTCATTCATTCATATCAAAATATTTTTTTATGTCAATTTTCATTCCTACCTGCTAATGGCTTTGTTGCATGAAACCTATTCTAATACATTTTCTAACTAAAAAAAACACGATGCTGCCAAGGACCAAATTCAAGGAGACCTGTGTCCTTCACACCAGTATTCATGAGCCACTTCTCATAGAATGCATACACACACACACAGTCCCCATGTGCTTTTCACAGCTGACGCACTACGCGACCTTGACATCATTTTCATAGTCGTCGTATAAACCAGAGTTACAACAGCCATAAATACGCCCAAAAGATCCCCAGAAGTGGAGAGCGCGAGAATGAGAGTTGGCTTTGCTCCAGAAGGGAAACCTGCTCGCTTTCTCCATTCACCTCTAATAAAGCAGAGCAGAGCATCCATCAGAATACCATCAATCCTCCTTCATCTCCACTGGCCCTCAGCGACCCACTGATGACCTGTGTGATAGATTCATTTTCTAATACCAGTAAAAAGCCTTTGAAATATCTAAACACACAATTCTCAGTGTTTTTAATCCGTTGTGCAGTTGCCTTTAGTACAGATGTACAGGGATCCCTGAATCTGACACTGTTAACATTCAGGGTGTCTCACAGTCTAATATATTAGTAAGACAAGCCTGCTTTTGAAGCTGGGTATGACAGTCAAAGCATGCAAGCCTAGACGACAACCCCTTTTATCCTTTAGATTGGTTGTTTCTCTTTTTTTTTTCTTACTTAATCCCAAGGCTCCATTAATAAGGCAAATACCCCTTCATTAGCATTAAACCAGAAATGTGTTTTTAACTTAATTATTTATATTTATAAATGGACCATTATTATAATTACTCAGATGTAACCTAAAAATATCAATACCATGGGAGAAAAAAAATTCTAAGTAGCTTAATCTCAAATTTAAATGTTTGGAGAAACTACAGAATCTTATTTTAAAACAATATTACATTTTTTAAGGTTGGTTTGATTATGCGAGACGGGACTGAAAAAGTAAAGATTGTTTAATTGCTGTGGAGAAAGAATATGAGTAAAGTACACTGTATATAATATTGTAATAAACACTAATAAATATAAAGCAAAAATAAAATAACAGTGCTGCCTGGAACCTGCTAACAGCAAGTACCCCTGGGATACCTGGTTGGGAATCACTTGTTTAGAAATTGAGAAAAGCGGTACTACTGTAGGCGATAGGTGGTTCCTGGCGGCTGCTGCATGCCCTAGAGTGGTTATAGAGCCAACTGAACTGGGAGAAGTTCGGTACAGAGGTAAACATCCCTGATTGATGTGCTAGCGGGCTCATTTACTGTAAATACTTCCTCGAGCACTACATTGGGTAATTACCCAAGGGGCTTTGGCCAGGTCAGGCCATACATCACATCAACGGCTTTAATCAATGGAGGGGAAAGAGAAAGCAGGGAACAAGAAAAAACAAATACAGTAAAACAACCGCATTCCATAGGACACACTGCAGCAGAGACCGTTGCATTGTTCTGGAAGGCTACGTTATTAGTAAAGTGGCATGCCATGTGCATGTTATATTGGTGGTTATTTATTCGCTAATTTGTATTTGCCAATAACTCAGCAGACTGCCTTCTGCTTCTAATACTTGGGCTTATCAGGAATCTTTAGCATCCGTCCTGATCTGTACATGTCCGTGTGATTTTGAATAACAAATTAACCTCTGAAAGCTCCAGCACTTTGTGAGAGTGAAATATCAACTGGCATTCAGACAAACCAATCAGTTAAATAATGCCTACACAAGTTAGATGTTTAAAGATAACACTGCATCACAATGACAGACATAAAACAGAAATACAAAGAGATAACACACAGCCTTTCCTCATGATCCACTTAACAAAAGTCCAACACACTGTAATTGTAATTTATCCTAATTTAAAGACACAAGGATTTGGTTTTCAGACCAAAATATTTTACTTCGGTATGATACCAGCTTTGGCACCTCAGTATCAATTCTAGCATATAAATAGATGTTAGGTAGACTATTGTGTTTTGTATGACAGATTTGCATGTAACTGGAATATTTACTAATAACTGAAATATACATGAAATCTGGCAGATAAGGCCCATTTGTCATGGAATTAATTAACAACTAATTAACATATTTCATAACTTATGAAAAACAATGATCATCACAAGGTGCATCTCAGCATATAGTATCCAAATAAATTATTACTGTTTTAAATATATTCTTATTCAATTAAAATATCCCATTACATAAATATTCAAAATATTAAATATTCCAGACCAAGGAATCCACATTAAGTTTCTTAATTTAAAGTGCACCCATTTCTCCTCAGTCTTGCATGAAGATTAAGATGATCTCGGCAACACAGTGGGTATTATTATACTAACGATATTATTGTATATTATAATAATTGATTTATACATTTCATAATCATTACATTTAATTTTGACTCTCAAATCATGCACCAATGCTTTTTTACACCCTTATACAGCAACTCTGCTTTCACGTTTCAAGTCACATAAATTATGTTTGTATGCTGGCATTGTAAAGTTTTCAAAAATAAGTTCGTACCGCGGCGCTGATTTTATATCGTTATACCGCACAACCCTAATAGACCCAGGGGTCGGGGAGAGTACTGATCTGAACAAGCGGATAAGCTGGACACACAGGGTGACAGTACAGGTACCTGGTGGGCCCCTGTGGGCGGCTGGGCTCCTGCTGCTGCTCTTGCTCTTGCTGCATGCGCTGCTGTAGGCCCCGCGCTCTCCTCATGCATTTTTGCAGCTTGGCGTCAGCAGCCATAGTCCTGCTATGAGTGTTAGCACTGCCCTCATGCATGGAAAATCTTAGTTTAGCTATAATGCAAAAGAACAACAAAAAGGGAAAGGAAAGAAGAGCAGAAGAAAAGAAAATGCAGAAAAGAAAGAGGTGAGTTATGAGGGGCCGGCATGCGGACCATTTATTTGTTATAGAAACGACAACGTAGTGAAATTGAAAGAAATAGGACAGGGTGATGGTGGGATATATTCCACCTTTCACCCCAGAGTGAGGTCTAGGCGGTGTTCAATAGGCAAAGCTTTGCACGCTAGTTCATCAATGTCGTCACACAGTTGACTGCGTGTAATGCGTTGATAACAGTAGCTTTCAACAGAAGTGTCATGTCCATTTTAAAAGTAACATTGCAATAAAAAACATTTTTAGAATTACAATAAAGGTAGATAAAAAAGGTGTTGTGGCAGAAGTCATGCTCTCAAATTTATTTTTCATTTTTTCATTTATTTATTATTTTCTCAATTTAAATTCCCCCCCTCAAATATTTTATATTATTTTACATTTATTTTTTTATATTGTTTTACTGTATAGTATATATTGATATTATTTAATATTTTTATATTACATTTACAACAACAACAATAATAAAAAATAATAATGATAATAATAATAATAACTTTCAGTAGGATACAAAGGAGTCATCATAATGTCAAAACTCTTTTTCACGCAAACAAAAATGCATTGTGATTGCTATCTGCCAAGTTCAATTGAACTTTTACTTGGTTTATTAAAACAAAAATTGTATATTATGTTGGAATTTCAACCCAGGTCCTCGCACATTACACAAAAGCTGTCCGCCTATACTGCCCTACAAAGGCTAAGAGCAGTATTTTCAATTTTTCACAAAATGTTTTTTTGCACAAATAAAAAGTGCAGGATCTGCTCTACAATCTGTTAAAATTTCATATGGCTACCTAATAAATTTCTTATATAAATTTACATTTTTAGTTGCAGTATTGTATAGAAAAGTAGAGTGAAACCAAGGCAGAATGCAGTATCTGCCCGTACTGCAGTCTGTTTCACTATGATACTGCAGTTTGCCTTTGTGTGGCATGAGTCAGGTTTTATAGCATACTGTATATGTATATAGCTCATATTTCATTGATTGATATATTGATTCCCTGAATGATTAAACTTAAACTGTTTGTAATTACATGTGAAGACCTATCCCAAACTAAAATAAAACAAATACGTTAATGATTGCCATAAAAAAACAGCACTTTTGTGATACAATTAAAATATATTAATCTAATAACGCGTGTTTTTTGTTTGTTTGTTTTTTGAAAAATATGATTATAATGCCAAAGGGGATGGAAAGTCACAGCTTAGCAGAAAGAATGAAGATGGAGAAAACGGTCAATAAAAAAAAAAAAAAAAAAACGGGGGTTTACATAATATGCCACATAATTTTAATAGTTTGGTTATAATTAACATATACTGTACTTTTGACGACTATAAGCAGCTGCTGCAGCTGTGTGCAAAGGTTTTGGTGATTTATGATTTATGATATAAGCAAGTGATTATGATCACTTGCTACACTTACTGCTATATGTTATTGTATGGCCATGTAAGTATACGCAGTAATGCAAAGGCAAAGCGCAGTATAGCCTATAAAACTACCAAATTTTGCCTGACTGTCAAAAAACGAAACGTTTAATATTCACCTCCCTTTGATCTATCTAATTGTACCCTTTGTTGTTAAATTTAATTGGATGCTTATATTTGGTGTAAGAAAAACACAAAAAGCTGTTTTTCTCAGTTTGGAGTTTTTGCTGATACTGCTCTTAGCCTTTGTAGGGCAGTATAGCTCCAGAATCGCTAGAGGAAAAAAAATAGGTGCATGACACTCCTGAGTTTCATCATTTCCATTTAAAACACATTTCCTGCTGTTATGCAGCGTTTTGCTTACTGAACATACCCGTCCATAATGAGTGACACAAACAGAGTTCAGAAAGACCATAATAGGGAGAAGCACTGGGCTGCTCTGCTGAAGGACAAGAGAGAAACCAACAACTGTGGTTGAGCTTTTAAGCCCTCGTTCACAATGTGTACTAAACAACATGTTGAGATTCATCACACCGATTAACTGTTAATTGCCTTCCCAAGTTGATTTGGTTGCTCTCCCGTCTGGGGCTGTTATATGGAAAACCGCATGGGAGGTTAGTGTTGCCATGGTTCCCTTGAACCTTTCGTTTAAGTCTGGTTTAGCATTAATTCTGCCTATCATAAAAATGCTATTATCAGAACATTTCCTGCTGTCAACACCAGTTGCTCCTGAGTTAGCTTTAACTGCCGATGACGTACATCGCTTTCAATGGGTTGAAAAGGAGCTGACGGCATTCTGGGAGATGAAAAGGGGCAGCAAAGTTTTAGGACGGCACACCACTGAAGACACAGGAAGCAGGAGCGACAGCCAGGACAGACATACGAACGTGGACACACAAAACCAATAATGAATTGCAGGGTTGTGGCAGGTGTTGCTTTCATTTGGCCAGAGGAATAGGAAACTATTCTTTTATATGGTGAAGGCATGACCTTATAGGCTGCCACTGAATCTTAGAGGCCTGTATGCGCTTTGGGCCGAATCAGATCTGTCTCGACGAGACAGTGAAAGTGCTGCAGGGATCTGGAGAGTGGAAATATTTACAAAGGCTGTCTTCCCTTTACATATATTAGTGTTTTGCTGCACACATACAGACATGCATGCACATATACGCACACACCGTGAGCAAAGCGAGACAGAGATGGAGGGTTTGCAGACCTGGATAGTGGTTTGCGAGCGGTATAAATAGATTTGTGGAGAGTTTTGCATGGCTGAAATTGTTCTCTGCTCATTAATCATTCAAGCAGGTATGCCAGCACCTCGGACAAAACCGTTGTTGTTCCAGGTAAGCGAGAGATACACAGCCACCTTTTTTTGTTTTAATTTGAAGAGTGCTGAGAGATTTAGACAGGATTGTGTGGCAGTATCCACACACAACGGCTCAGCAGAATCACAATCCAATCCTTCCAGCAAAGGGGATTTATAGGGGTCGGGAATGTTATGATGGTGAATCCAGAACGGATTTAAACTCTGTTAGCGTGTGGCTGTGGGTGAGGCCCATTCAAATGGTGATCCAAATGGAGGGCTCACGCACAGAATAAAATGTCAAAAAAAAAAAAAAAAGATTAAAATTGTTCCAGCCTCTGTCTGGCACAGATCGGGGCTCTCAAATGGCAAAAGCCGAGCGCATGTCTGGCACAGATCAGGGGCTCTCAAATGGCAAAATCAATAGCACGCTACTATTAGCGGTATTAACAATCAACAGGCAGAGCCACATTCCCAGTCATCCAATCAGATTGTGAAAATCTGGGCAAATGGTGACTCAGATCAGAGCACTAAGAAAACAAACATAGGGATGCACCAAATATCAAATTAAAATAACAAAATACAAAAAGTAACAATTAAGAAAATTAAAATTATAAAATAGATACAATACAATAAATATAAATAGATTTTTTTTAAAACAATATTTAAAAAAAACAAGTAATTATAAATGAAAAACAATTGTGTTCAATACAGATACGGTGAATATTATTTTCATGTTATCAATAACTCAGTAAATAAATTATATACTATTTTTTATTAAAAAGTAAGTTAATTTAGGCATGTACAATTAAGCATGTACAATTTTACCAAAAATATAAATTCAAAATTCTCAAATATCAACTGATATAGTAATATGCACCAATATGGTGCATCCCTAGAGACCAAAAAAGAAGGCAAATAATATGCCACACACATAAGCGAGTAGACCAGCACACAGAGAGACAAACAGAAGCAAACACACACAGAGTGCTGCAGGAAGGAAAGGCAGTGTAAAAATGGTAGGAAATCGTGTTGCAAGGACATGAATGTTTTTGGGAGCTGCTTTCTTACTAAATGGACCTAGAAAGTGCATATATTGGGTAAGTGATGGTTACCCGAGCAGATAGCGTAGGATTTGGGCGTAGCAAGCAGAGGCAGGTTAGAATTACTTACACACAGCGTGGTGGGAGAGCGCCAGGGCTGTAGCTGTGTCCCCAGCTTGCTCCAGACGCAGCGACTGCTCTAAGAGAGAGTCAGCCTCCGCCAGGCAGTGCTCAAAACTGCCCCCCTTCCCTGCAATTAACACACCAAGGCCAGGCCTCTGAGAACACGCTCACACACGCACAAACACTGCTCACAGGAGCCCCTGTGTGTTCCCGGGAACACGCCACTCACAACGTTTGCACGGCTTACCGGCAATGAAGATGTCAACTGACACACAAGTGCACACAGTATAATGACCACCACCAGCACAACTCATAAACACAAGTGGACATGTACAGTAAGTACACACACAATGCACACTGACTAGGGAAATCGCTTTACGGTAAAAAATTTAGCATTTTAATTGATTAAAAAAATACTGCAGAGTGTATTGGTGAATTTTTATGATGCTATGGCTCTCATCTACGATATTTATATCATGGTACATGATATTACAGTGATATTTCAATTATTGTATTATTTAAAGATACTAAGACATTGGATTAGATAAATTTTAGAAGTAAAAGTTTACCCTTTACTCTCTTCTAATTACATCTGCTGAGAAAAAAGCTTGAACCGGCCTAAAGTGGTTTGCTGGTCTTAGCTGGTTTAAACAGGTCTAGCTGGTCTCCCAGCAAGGCTAATCTGGTGTTAAACTGATTTAGCTGGTTGGTCAGCCTGATCAGGTAAAAAGTGGTCAAAACCCTCTAGAACCATAAAAAACAGACCAGCCAAAACAACTTAGCTGGCTGTCAAAATGATCAATTAATAAATGTATAATATCAACCGATAATTAATATGGTACCAATGTATTGTGCATCCTTTAGAAACCAGCCTAAAGTAATTTGCTAATCTTAAATCAATTAAACAAATCAATTAACAAATCTTTAATATCATTCGATAGTCAATATTGTACCAATATATTGTGCATCCCTAGAAACCAGCCAAAAGTGGTTTGCTAATTTTAGCTGGTTTATATGATCTCCCGGTATATGGCCAAGTTGGTGTTAAATTGGTCTGGTCTTCCTGCATGGCAAATCTGGTGTTAATTTGGTTTAGCTGGTCAGTCAGCCTGATCAGGTGAAAAATAGGCAACCCCCCAGAACCATCAAAGCTGACCAGCTTTAACAGCTTATTCAGCCATCGAAAATATATATTAAAAAATCTTTAAGATCAATGCATGACCAATATGGTACCAATATATTGTGCATCCCTAGAAAACCATCTAAACACATCAGTCTAACCCGCTTAGCCAGGCTGGGAGACCAGCTAACCAGTTTAGGCTGGTTTAAGCTGTTTTTTGCAAAGGGATTGCTTATAATGCAAAGCTGTGGCTCTGTCAGCTCTCTCTTTAAACACAAATTCTATCTCTTTTCATTTGTTTTCTGACTGTTTGGCCCAGTGTGGCATTTACCCTGGTGCTGAAGTTCATCCAAGTCCATGAACTTGCTGGGTCTGGGGTTGAAGCCCTGCGCTACTTCTCTCTCCTTCTCCTTCTTCCTCTGGAGCTCCTGCTGCCTAGCCCTGCGAGCAACTTCCTCTTGTAATTCATCCAGCTCGCTGCGCCCCTCTCCTACACACATACACAAACACATAAATAAATAACAGTAATATTCATGTCCAAAGTTGACATGAACACCTTGTAGCAATAGTGGGTTAATAATGCACAAAGGCAAAGACTGGCGGTGAGCCGGTGACTTACCCAAACTCAGTGGAGTGCTGCTCCAGGTGGGTGATTTGAGGTCTTGCAGGATGGCACTGCTGCTTTTGGACTTGGGCACAGTGCGCCAGGAGGGCCCAGAAATGACTGGCCTCTTACTGCCGCTGTCCCTAAGACAGAGTGGAGCAGATGTCTTGATACTCAGACATCATGAAAGTCAGTCTCAGTGTCTATGTATCAGTTTGTGTAGGCCTACACTCACCTAAAGGATTATTAGGAACACCATACTAATACTGTGTTTGACCCCCTTTCGCCTTCAGAACTGCCTTAATTCTACATGGCATTGATTCAACAAGGTGCTGAAAGCATTCTTTAGAAATGTTGGCCCATATTGATAGGATAGCATCTTGCAGTTGATCTTGCAGAGATTTGTGGGATGCACATCCAGGGCACGAAGCTCCCGTTCCACCACATCCCAAATATGCTCTATTGGGTTGAAATCTGGTGACTGTGGGGGCCATTTTAGTACAGTGAACTCATTGTCATGTTCAAGAAACCAATTTGAAATGATTCGAGCTTTGTGACACGGTGCATTATCCTGCTGGAAGTAGCCATCAGAGGATGGGTACATGGTGGCCATAAAGGGATGGACATGGTCAGAAACAATGCTCAGGTAGGCCGTGGGGCCTAAAGTGTGCCAAGAAAACATCCCCCACACCATTACACCACAACCACCAGCCTGCACAGTGGTAACAAGGCATGATGGATCCATGTTCTCATTCTGTTTACACCAAATTCTGACTCTACCATCTGAATGTTTCAATAGAAATCGAGACTCATCAGACCAGGCAACATTTTTCCAGTCTTCAACTGTCCAATTTTGGTGAGCTCTTGCAAATTGTAGCCTCTTTTTCCTATTTGTAGTGGAGATGAGTGGTACCCAGTGGGGTGTTCTGCTGTTGTAGCCCATCCGCCTCAAGGTTGTGCGTGTTGTGGCTTCACAAATGCTTTGCTGCATACCTCGGTTGTAACGAGTGGTTATTTCAGTCAAAGTTGCTCTTCTATCAGCTTGAATCAGTCGGCCCATTCTCCTCTGACCTCTAGTATTAAAGTCTGTATTAATGTGTGTGTGCTCACCTGTGTGAAAAAGCTTGGGGTTTGGATTATGGCTGCTGGGTGAGCATGGGGTGAAACTTTCTGTTGACCGTCACCATTGTTAACATCTTCCACTGATGTATCTGAGGTACCTTTGCACGGCTTATGAAATGCATCGCTCAAAGTAAGTGTTTCGGTTTTCTAAGTATGTGAGATAGCGTAATAAAGAGATCGCAACATGTACAATGGTTCAGTGTGACGCGTCTTCAGTGTAAACCCTCATGTTTCAGCCTGCTGTGGCGTTTTGTTTTTTTTGGTTTGGTTTAGTGATATAATACGCCGCAATCATTGCATTAATGAGAAATTGAACAGGTGTTCCTAATAATCCTTTAGGTGAGTGTATACTACAACATTAAGGCATATGGTTAATATTTGGCTTGTTCGATATTTTGTTGCCAATACACAATAAACCAACATTGTGTGAATATTGAAATAATACCATCACATAACTCTATGTCTATCAAGTAAATTTGATGTATCGACATATAGCGTAGGTCTGGGTGATGCTTGCTTACTTCTGCTTACTTAATATTTCATACAATATTTAAAGAAACATTGTGTCAAAATATCAAATTAGATGAGGCAGGAATTTGAGGTATCATTCTAATATGCTGATTTGGTGCTCAAGAAACATTTCGTATTATTATCAATGCTAAAAGTTGTGCTGCTTAATATTTTTGTGGAAACCTTGATACATTGTTTTTCAGGATTCTTTGATGAATAGAAATGTTAGAACCGTATTTATTTGAATATAATATATATACCAATTTTTTCTTTTCAGTAGTTATATTTAATATATATACCTGTGAGCACTGGTGCTCTGGTTGTCACTGAGGGGCATGTCCATGCTGATGGGGCTATTACTGTTCCTCTCACTGCTTTCGTAGCCACTCTCCATCCTCTGGATAAGCCGAGGCTGCTGTTCTACGCCTCTTAAAGGTGGTGGGATCGGTAGATGTTCCACTCCTGTCTCTGACAAGCACCCTGAGCCATCGGTCATGGCTCCAGTCTCTTCTGCTACAATATTTGACCCCCCCGCCGCAGCCCCTGAGACCAGCTCGCTGTGCACCGGTGACATCGGGTCTTCCGGCAGCGGGGAGGGCCCAAGCGTGGCGTACCCAGGCGGCCGATGCCTTTCCCGGCTGAAGATGCTGTCAATGTTCAGGGCCTCTCTCCTTGGTCTCCAAGTGGGCCGATAGCACCCTCCACTGGAGCTGGACTTAGACTCACTGCTGGTGCTCTCGTCTTCCCAGTCCCTCGACCGAGCCCCAGCCTCCGAGCCGCCCACCCCTGAACTAGAGGACGATGAGAGGGGTCTGCTGTGGATCATATTCACAGTCTCTTTATAATCCTGCAGATGGCCAGTAGAAGAGGTTCTTGGCGTACAAAGGGGAGTGGCCCGGTCTTTAAGAACCTCCCCTAAAAAAAACAGACTTGTACAATTATTAAAGTGAGAATATATATATAAATATATTTGAAAGTTGCATCCAAATTTGACAAGGCAAGTGCCTTCTCAGTTGGATTTAGCATGACGATTTGCTGGTGACATTTATATTAGAGAGCATGTTTGTGTTAAAGTACCTGCAGTGTCCACGCTGTTTTGGGAACCGCTGCTGTCCTGATTACACACCACAGTTCCCTGAGAGTCAGAAGAGAAATAGGAGGCCATGGACTCATGGTGTGATCGAGAGTGCTTGTAGCTGCAGCTGTCTGTGGAAGAGTCTGTGCGTGTGTCACTTGAAATTGAGGGCTCCCTCCCTGACGACAATAACAACAACAGCAGAAAGGGCATTTAGAAATAGAGAAAGTTAGCTTCAGCTATGCAACTGCGCAAAGGCCAGATCTTAAAGGGATAGTTCACCCAAAAAAAATTAATTCTTTAATCATTTACTCATCCTCATTTCATTTTAAACCTTCCACAAAAGAAGAAAATTAAAAGTATGATTGTACTTTTCAATGCAAATGACAACAAATACAGACTGAAGCTTTCAGACTTGGATGTAAAAAAAGGATGTAAAAGCTCTATAAATGTTGTCCATATGATTTGTGCACTATAATCCAAGTCTTCTAAAGCAGTGGTTCTCAGCCAGGGGTCCGGAGATCACTAGGTGGCCTCAATGGCTTAAAATGTTTTAAAATAAGACAAAACAAGGAATAAAATATGGTAAAACAAGTAAAAAACAAGATTCAATTCACCCCCTAAACAACAGTTTTTCTCTATGAGGAATCAGGATTATCTTAAAACACCTATAAATATGAGTAAGTCCAGGAAAAGTCATAAAACAGAAGTAAAATAATGGGGGGGGGGTCATGGGGTCTCTGAATATTGTTGTGAATATTACTTTGCAGTCAAAATGGCTGAAAACCACTGTTCTAAAGCCATACTATACATTTGCGTGAGAGATGGAACAAAATTTAAGTTGTTATTCACTGAAAATCATCCCCTCCGTTGAGCTGTAACTCAAGAAACAGGCCAATGCATGCAGGCTGTCAGGCCAATGCATGAATGATTCATTCAGATCCATTTTTGTGAACCTTATTCAATAAAAAGGCTTCACTACATCTCTCATGAATGTTCCAAGGACAGTTAAAAAAGTGGTCAAGATTTTTGGTGAAAAAAGCAACATAAAAACCACAACAGTAATTTCAGTTTATAAAGCGGTGAGAAGAATTCGAAAATAGAGCATATGGACCACTTCTCATGGTACTTTTGACTCCTTTATAAGCTTCAGTAGCCATTCATTGCAATTGCATGAAAAAAGTGACCACATTCTTTAAAATGTGCACTTTTGTGTTCCACAGAATAAAGTCATATGGGTTTGGAAGGAATGAATTACATTTTTTTTGTGTATACTGCTTTGTTTGATTCTGAGAATTAGACATTACAAATAGTATTGTTTCTTCTGTTTAACCCTCTACCTCTCCGTCCCGCCTCTCACTTCCTTTTAGCCTCACCGGAGTCTTCGCTGTCATAGCCAGCCTTGCTGCTGTGATGCAGGTCTAACTGCGCTGCCAGCATGTCCTGCGATGACACGGGCGTTCCTCGGGGGTCAGCATACAGGAGCAGGAGTGGCTGGTAGTGGCCTTTTATACATCTCGACACCACATCCTTCCATTTGGGTCCAATCTACGACAGTTTAGTACATCCTGAGTTAACCGCAGACTCCATTCACAATTAGAAACACTAGAATCAGCTGCTCGAGACAGATGTGTCATTACCTCCTTCACATGAGCGTCATCGAAGTACATCCACTTGCGTATCTTGGTCTGGAAGAAGAAGGTGGAGTAATGCTTGCCGTAGTAGCAAACCATGCCCACAAGGTAGAGCTCTGAATGCTTGGCCCGCTCATCCGTCACACGGTAGAACAGCTGGAGAGCAGGCACATAAAGAGAGAATTGACCGTGAGGACCAATCAGATTTAGAGTTTGCCATAACTGCAGTGAGGCATAAAATCATTCTAAATATTAACTCGTCAGCATTGGCAGAGCATGTTTTGAATCATAGGGCAATAAAATGAACAGTTAAATTAATATATTCAAAATTAAATTCTATTTAGAGTGTGACTTAATGATGTGAATAATTTCAATGTTTGAGCGACAGCCAGGTAACTCAGTGTTCATGAGAAGGCATCTCTAAACAAGGTTCCATGAAAAACAGCATCTAAAAATATTTAAGAATTTGCTCCCTTTCAATTCATGAGTGTGAATTTGAATGGAACTGGTCACACACATACAGGATGTTAAATTGGATGTAACTGATGTAATTTGGATTGCAATGAAAAGAAAAAATTAATTGAATTGCAATAAAAAAAAAACTAACAACTGACTCACAAGGCACACAACAAAATATTTTCATTAGTTTAACATTTTTTTATATTAAATCATATACAATTATACCTCTTTATACCAAATGGCACATAATGCAACCTTATAAGTTCCTATTCATAATAGGGATAACACGTTATTAAATATAATAATATTAATATCAATAATAACATCAATAAAAATGATATTATATATGTGAAATGTATGTATACATTAATGTTATTTGTTAAATATAATAATAAAAAACATCATAATTTTATATATACATATACAGAATAATCAGTAATTTTGAAGTTTTTGAAAGAAGCCTTTTATCCTCACCTAGGCTGCATTTATTTGTTCTAAACTGTGAAATATGATAACAATTGTTTTCTATTTGGATATATTTTAAAAGGTAATTTATTCCTGAAATGGAAAACTTGAATTTTAGGCAGCCATTATGCATCCATATGCATTACTCCATTTATTCTTTATTCACTTAAATTCAAATTCTGCGTCCTGTGCGCTACATTAATGCTTTTGACACAGATTCAATTCAGAATGGCACACAAATCTGGTGTGAAGTACGTGAGAACACTGTTACACTACTGGGGCTATGGATATATTGAATGTGACAAAGAGTACACTGTGCTTCCTCCTTTTGTCCTGGACTGTGCATAAGAGAAGGGGAGCTGAAAGCTCAAGGTTACTGCGTTAAGGTGACGACAAAAAGGAACAGCAATAGTGTGTTGTCCGTGCATCCATGAGTCTTACATCACCCAACCGCAGGCACGTGCCCAGGCTGTGGATGACGTCTTCAGCTAGATCAGAGTGGTCTGAGTCCCACACCAGGCCGATGCTGATGATCTCCGGGCAGTTCATCAGAACCCGCCGAATCCGCAACATTTCGCCACAGTTACTCTGAAATGATGAGACAAAAAAGAAGGCATCTTGATTAGGGCTGCACGATATTAAGCAATTTTTTTCTGCGATTTATTGTGATATGAATACGTATAGAGTTTCACCAGATTACTTGAATAGCCTCATTCTAGAATGATTGGGATTAAAAAAAGCAAAAATTTAAAAAAGAGCAGAAAAATACGTTTTACTATGAAGACTTTAAATGTGAAATCCTTTTACGGCTGTACAATAAAAAAAAATAAAAAAAAAAACTTGAAAAATGTTGGTGTTCATACTTGGGGTTACTCTTTACAAGAACCACCTCAAACCAAAAAGTGAAGAGTTAAAAAAGAACAAAAAATTCCGATAGGCCACATTCAAACTGTTTTGACCAATTCCATATGAATTATGGAATGTGCATGTGTGTGAGAGAGAAATGGTGAAGGAGAGATGAAAGAGCGCTTCAAACAGTGCAACACGGTCCAGCAGGGCCTTATGTTCAGCACCCAATGTTCTCGCTGTGCTCTTTGAGTCACCGCCCTCTGCCGAGCGCTTTGGCAGCAGTATACGGAAACAGGCATGGAGAAAGGCTCTGGCGACGAGCACCACTGCCAGCCTGACCTCTTCCTTTAACGTACAAAAACCTATCCGAGCACTGCCTTTGTGGAGCCGTCAAGGGGCGGCACCAGGCTGGCACCAGACCTGGGCAGGAAGGGATTAGACAAAGAGCCCAGTTCTCAGAACCGTCCTCTCTCTTTCTCTCGGCCTCAGTCGCTCCATCACAGACAAACACAGAAGCGAGGCAGCCAATGAACAACCAGCAGCGGCAGCACTGCTGAGCTTTGGGACAGACACACAGTGTACCATTAGAGATCATTGTTAGCCTCAGCTCCACAGTCAGTCCTGCCAAGTGCTGGGAATCCAGACAAACACATGCTTTCAGGGCCAGACGACTAAGCTTCTAAAGAGCAGTGACGTTACAGACTACCGTGATCTCAGTTGCATTTCAATAAAGTCATTTCAGGGAATCGACAAACGGAAAATCACTGGAAATGAAGGCGTGGATTTCAGCTCAAATTCATTTGGACTCATTTCGTTGATTTGGTACGGTGTAGACTCAGCCGCTGACATGGGTTTCTCCGAAAGCATGCTGAATGATGCTGGAGTGTGTTTGGGATGATGAAATCAGCCGCCTCCTGTGGCGGGGTGAGGGTGCACAGTGTGTGGTAAGAGCTGATCAGCAGCTGGTGTGTAATAGGGCAGGACTGTGTGTGTGTGTGGTTGTGTGTTGGGGCTCTTTCGTCTGTTGAGAACATAGGAGTAGTGAGCAAAAGACCCTCTCGGGTGAAAAACAGATGGCCTGTATGGTTCCATGTGAACAGCAGAGCATAAATGAGTGTGTCTGGGTGGCTTGAAAAAAGATTACACTTTGGGTGAAGATCAAGTTATTAGGCAAACACAAAATCAAACTAAGCAACATTATTGAAATAAAGTAGGCACGACTTAATTTTATCCAATGGGATTTGATTGAATAGTGAAAATTAGGCATTATTACAAGACAATATTATACACTCTTTGGAATACTTGATTCTGATTGGACAAGCTAATGTGATAACTGTAAATGTTACCATTACCACAGGTAACAAAATTCCAATATAGCTGTGTTTGTATGGACAACTGGGGGTGAAATTTAAAGTTAAAATGGGCAATTCTTGTTTTTTTATGGAATATTGCAGTATATATTATAAATGGTTTGTCTGTGACATTTTTTTTTTAATTCATGTGCCCTCATAATCTTTAATCAAAGTAATTTCCCCTCTCTCTTGCTGCAACATCTCTTCTCTGACGATGTGTTTACTGGCAGGACATGCTGTCACTCACATGAGATTGCAGCAACCTGAACGATCCAATGATCCAATCAATTCCCAGTGGACAAAATCAAGTCCCGCCCCACCGTTTCATTAGGATAGGAAGAAAAGACTATTGCAACTTATGTATGCTGTAAATATATTCTGTATTCTTCTTCTTTATGCTGACTTAAAAAAAATAAAATAAAGTAATTCGCTATCATTTTTTTTAATTCAAACATACAAAATGGAAAATAAATCACTTTTAAAATGGACTAATTAATAGACATATTTAAAGATATTTAAGTCATGTTTTAAATGTAATCAAATACAGTAATACATAATTTTAATAATAAATAATTTTGACATTTAAACCAGTTTATTTAATTAATGTCTTAAAATGTTAAACATTACAACAGTAAATAAAAAATATGTTTTAATGCAAATTTTAAATTGCATTTTGAGTGGCATGTGGGTACAGGGGTGGCTCTTGAAAAAAAAAAAAAGAGCTAAAAACTGATTGCCCCTAAGAGTGAACCATCCAATGTCAAATTTTAAGAAACAATGGAGAAAAAACAACAACAAAGAAAAGCATTTGGCACATGGATGAACAACAACTAGCAATGTTTCACTTTCTCATGTGTTGAACACTTATTTGTAGAAGTCCTATCACTGACTACTCAAATTCTTCAATTGGAACACCATTTCACTATTAGAAAAACAATTGGTAAACTCTGAAATAGACTGTAATTAGTAGGTAGATAGATAGGTGTGTATGCGTGTTCTCACCGGACAGTTTCGCAGGTCGCCCATGGTGCTGGCATTGCGGAGAAGCTCTCCAAACATGTCGGGTGTGGGCTTCTCCTTACATTCCAGCATTCGCACAGCTTGGTTACTGCAGCAGAGGGAATAAGAGACAGATGTGTCCTCAAGCACCAGTGTTAACACCACTGATGGGAAATGCACACACAATTTTACATACATTAATGTTGAACTATAACGGAAAGAATAATGATACTCAGTGTTACACGTACACCATTATTTCAGCCGCTCAAAAACCTTACAAAGTCTACAGTACACAGATGTTATATATCGTCAGTAGATCACTATTCCCTGGAAGACATCAGAAACTAATGTAGCAGCACTCGATCTCTGTTCCATCTCCACATGGTCTCCATCAGGACAAGAGCCGCAGGCCTGCACAGAAATCAGCGTACTTTACTGGCTAATGTTTCCTTAAGCTAAGCGTGATAGCATCCATTTGACATGCAGCATATCTGCACACATGAACCGTCTGTCAGCATGTCCGCATGGAGGAAATGTGCCAAGACAGCCCCTTAAGGGCTAAATACAACCTATACGCAGACACTAATTTAGATCAGACAGACAGGTCTACCCTTTCTCTCACTGTCTTACTTTCAGCATTATTCAGTGCTTTACTTGGAAATGACGGTCATACTGAGAATTACATTTAATACGAACTTTTTCGCAGTAAAAGTACTCCTCTCTTTGGTTTAAAAATAGCCACTTTGACCTTGAATCATTCTTCACATTGTTTAGCATGCAGTGTTTATAAGCTCAGATTACCGTTCATCATATTCAACACATTAATAATGCTGTTAAGAGGGTGGATGGCATCATCTTTTTTCTTTTCTCGCATGTTCCCTGCATATTCAATTCATCCATCTATATAAGCTATCACAGGCATAAATCTTAAAAATATGACCATTTGCAGGGAGACTCAGGATGGTAATACAGACGATTTGCACAATTTATGGTGGATTTACAGACTGTGATGTTACAGAAATTGTATGATCCATTCTGGTGGCTAAACCACCACCAGTGTGTGTGTGTGTGTGTGTGTGTGCGTGCGTGCGTGTGCGTGTGTTTTACCAGGTTTCCACTTAGTTAGTTTTCTATTTATGCTTAATTAAAAAGTATGCAGTGCCAATAACACCAGTACAATTCTATGTAAATGCAACCTGGCTGACAATAAAAACAAACCTTGAATAAAATTATGTACATAATAACAAGTTTAATATGCATTGATTTGGAAGAAGAAACCCAAATGTGCCGTACATAGGTAGATGCCTGTGTATTATAGTGTAGAAACTGTACATCAGTTCTTTTAGAATGACAAATTTGAGCCTCTCAATACAGATAAACCCGTCCAATCTGTTTCAGAAAAGAGAGAAATAAATAAATCCTACGGGTTCCATTGTTTTCCGTGATATGTGCGAGCCTGGTTTAACAGCTTTGTTTCTGGATGAAAAACGCTTGAGTTAGGATTTTGAGCATATTGCGTAGTCTTTGTTTTCTGGTGTGTTTGTGTATGCAGGTGGACGTGGCTTCCCACTGAGAGTGCGTGTGTTCATATTAAAGCCGTTGTGTGAGAATTCAAAGCTGTACAGGAGTACCTGCATCTAGAAGTGAGGGAACACATTGTACTATAATTTATTGCCGCACGGCCACGTGGCAAAGCACACGATTTACTGTGGAGTAAGTGTGTTTGTGCGAACCCAAGAGAGGACAGAGACTGCTTGTTTATGCATGTGTGCAATGCAAAGCCAGCAAACTGTGTGTGAAATGGTAAGGGTTGATGAGTATTTAGCCATTAACTCTGCATGTGCATTCAGACCTTGGGCCGGTTGCACCAGCTGTGCAAGTTACAACTTAGCCTAGTTTTGATGTAAATGGGCCCTAAGTTACAACTTATGCAATACTATTTAGTTTTGCGTTGCACCATTAAACTTAGTTGAAGCGTAAATCTACGCATAAACTAAATATTTACGGAAGCCACCAACCAGGAATAATGGTAGGAATAAAATAGCAGACTGACTAAATTGCATCAATAAGCTGTTGTTTTACCCAAAAGACTTCAATACTTCAGACATACAGTATATGATAATGCTGACATTTACACTAGCTTACATTTTAAGAGAGAGAACATTATGTGAATTAATTATTTTGTTAGCAGCCAGTCATAAGTTATTTGCATCGGTATTTATTTATTGATCCTTTTAATTACAAATACATTTTCTGACTGTTATTTACACATAAAATACCTGTTATGTTATTCATGATCAAGTAGTGTCACATTTTAATGGAAACTTATTTTTCCATTATTTACTTGAGCCAAAAGAATTTAGAATCAAGGATAAACTGAAATTCGTATTTGAAGGCTGCTTTTGGATCATTGAGGGTAAACATCATATTATGCATCTACGCATTACTTTATGAAGAGCCCTACCCTGGAGAATTGATTCTTTCATATCTGATACAGAAATCATTGAGGAATGTTCAAGATCTGTTTATTTTTCCCCAGCCAGTCACAACCAGGGCATGTGAGCGAAGTGGAGCGGGATGTCCTTTAACAGTATATCACTGCAAAGGTAGGTTTTTTAAACTTCTTTTTAACCCTATAAGCAAAGAACTGAAGCAAAGAACAAAAAAGAACTTTGCTGTGAGTGTATCACAAAATGAATCTTTTCGAACTCCACACTCCCTTTCAATTTCTTCTCCTTCATTCTTAACCTTGACGTTTGCTGTGCATTTATTTATAATATTCACATTAAAACTATATAACCTCCATAACCTTAGACCTATTGCTTAATTATACATATTCTCAAACCAGCATTTCACAAAGGGCATTCTGGGTTGACCGAACGGCTCTGAGCGGACTAAGCAAGTGGAGCAGAATCTTCAGAAAAGCGCTTTCAGCTCCAGACGAAATATTACCGCTCGCATGCTCTGGTCGCAACAGATCCTCGAGTGTCTTTCATGGGATTTTAACATCCAACTTTGCATGATTTATGTTGATAAAAGTGCTTCTTGTATCGTTGAAGACCCTGACCTACATGCTCAGTGATATTAGCTGTGTCCCAATTCGAAGGCTCCTTCAAATGTGGCCTCGAAATGCATCATTCGTATCCCGGGCAATGAAGGATACAACAGATGGACCTTTCGCGGCCAACCCTACCCCAGAATTCATTGCGCGCCAGTGACAACAGGATTTTCTTGAGAGAAATTGCCGTTTTGTTGCCGAACCATGTTTTGTTTTCAAACAGTTGTATCTAACTTTCAAAAAAGCCAAGTACAAACGCTACTGCCACTCGTCCGTCCCATTTAACAATACTCGGTTCTACCTTCAACCTTCACGGCCACGCCTTTGAAGGGTGTCTTAATAAATAAGCCCTTAGTGGCTATTCCATCATTTGGCAATGCATATCAAAACAAGAAAGTGACATTCTGAATCATGTTGGAAAGCTCAGATGGCGTAATAGTGATTCTTTCTGATGTCCTAGAGAGTGTGCTTGGGACAAGATTCCACAGGGATTGATGGGTAATGTCCTATCTGTGTCCTCAGCGGTCCACTTTCTTATTGGAGAAATGGTCTTATCGAGGTCTAAACATCAGATGTGTTGCGAAGCTCTCAGAATGAAATACTGTACAGCAGGCAAGAACGTTTCAGGAAGAGTTAAGTGTAGGTGTGTGAACGTGTGTTTTATATGTGGGGAAAATAGGGAAATGGGGATGGATAGAGAGAGGAAAAGACGTAAAACATGGCAGATGAAGGTTGCATGTGTGTGTAACAACACATACACTAGAGTGGGAGAATAGGTCATGAGGGAGGGGTTTGCGGAGGGCACATTTCCTGTACATAGCTCTAGCAGATGGCTCTCACGGGTCTGATATGTACGATGACAGCTAATAACCTGTGATATAGAGGCTCATTCCAGCCTAGCAGGTCGGCTTTACCATTCAGCTGGAGCTGGTGGCTCACTTACCCGATAAACACTGTGGATTGCTCCCTTACCTTCAGTTTCCAGTCTGATGTGTAAATCGAAACCCTCACTCAACATCAAAGTGACAAAAGAGCCACAATTGTCCGTTTCCAGCACTAAACGGTGTACACACACCCCACTAAGTCTCAATAGATCACCCTCAACCGCAAGAGTATCCATCATTTGTGCAGCACAAGACAAACTGAACCAAAACACAGTGAAGTGCAGGACAGTTGGCGGTAAAATGGCCAAAAAAAAAATTTTCAGGTTCAAGATCTGTGGTGGCAGCTGAAGGTTGTCGGATTAACAGGGGTGCTATTAGCATTGGGATCTTGAGTAAGACGCTTAAAGTCACCACAAGTCAGCATTGTTTTAGTTTTTTTATGGAATAATGCAGTATTTATTGTATATTATCAGTGCACATCATTATTATTTTTTATTTATGTGCCCTCATAATTTTTAATCAAAATAACTTCCCTTGTAACGACATCTCTTCTCTTCTCTGATGACATGTTCCCAATCACATGAGATCACAGCAATAGCACATCACAACAATCCTATGATCCAATCAATTTCCAATGGACAAAATCAAGGCCTGGCCTACATTTTTTTGTTTGAGAAGCCATTTCACTCGGAGATACTTCACAATAGGGAAGACAGGTCTATTGCAACTTCCGTTTCATGTAAACCTCATGTTGCTCCAGTCTGCATGAAATCAACATTGACCCTATTTAGTTTAATAGAGCACATTAAGTATATAAATCATGATTAATCTGTGCAAGTTAATCCACAGAAAAAAAAAAGTTCTTTATAATCTTTGGTCAAAATCAGAAAATTTACTTCCTCTCTGAAATGGTGTTTCTTCTCAAAACATAGTGAGCTGCCTACGTAGACAGCATTTTAAGGAATCATAGCTACGCTTTCAACGCAAATGGTGTGCAATTTGTTTGACTTAATCTCATTTTACCCAATTTAAACATCCTTCACAAAGATAACAATCCTAGAATACATTATGACAAGCTCTTTAAAATGAATACAAGGCTGCATTTATTTGATCACAAGTACAGTAAAACGAGATTAAGAAATATTATTACAATTTAAAATAACCATTTTCTATTTTACAATTTTAAAATGTAATTCATAATCCCATGATGGCAAAGCTGAAATTTCAGCAGTCTTGATACTGAATAAATATCAAATATCTCCATGATACTTCATAAATCATTATAATATGCTGATTTAGAGCCAAAGAAAGATTTCTTATTATAAGCATTATTGTGCTGCTTAATATTCTTCGGCAAATGGTTATATATATATATATATATTTTTTTTTTTCAGGATTTTTGATGAATAGAATGTTCAAACAAACAGAAATATTATAAATATCTGTACTGTCACTTTTGATCAATTGAATGCATCTTTGCTGAATTAAATTATTAAATTCTTTAAAAATGAGTCTCTATTTTAGTTGAGTTGCTGCCTATGTGGAGCATTCCAATCAGTCACCAATAAGGTTTTTAGGATGCTGACTTAGAAAGCAGCTGTCTATGTAGAGAATAGGCAGGGAGACGCCTCACTAGAGCTAGAACAGAGTTAAATACTTTCTAGGAGCAAAAAACCTGACACCTTGGTCCTCCACTTACCAGAGAGAGGTGGTGGAGATGTAGTGCACCATCTGAATGAAAGGGAGAGGATCCGACGTGGCTCCACAATTATTACAAACACACTGGAAGAGACAAGAAACAAATACATGGAACAAATGTTAGGAACCACATAAAACGGACAATAAAGAAACACATAATGTCCCTCAACAACCTGTTCGAAAAGTGTCATGGCAAACTTCTGATGTGGGATGCAGTGCTTGGCCGTGCAGATGTCCTCCTTGGTCTCATCTGAGATGTGGAAGTGGATCCGCATCAGGAGATTCTCCTAGAGAAGACAAACACTGAGCGGTTGGATCATTTCTAGTAACTGTGTGTGTGTGTGTGTGTGCGCGTGCATTGGCTTTCTCTTTTCTTTGATCCTGCTTTGATAAACAATTCTGGAATAAGATGTTTAGTGCCAGTGCAGTATAATGTTGGCTATTCTTACTGCATTTAAACAGTGAGTCATCTTTGAACTGCTGTTTGTGTGTATGTATCTGAGACAGTGAGTTGTGTGGTCCGGCTCTTATATTCATTTTTCTCTGTCAGCACTCACTTCACGTTAATCTGATCAAGTGAGAACAACACATCTATTTTTCATAAGAGTCCTTCTGATTCCCTGGCTGAACAAATTTAAAATCAATCGATCACACTGCAAGTTCCTGACAAAGGACAAAGGAATACAGGGTGAATGAGGGAGTGGGAGAGAAAGTGAGAGAGGTGAATGAGACCATACATCAAATCTCTCGTTCCCTTCCTTTCATCTCACTAACAGCATGGACCACGCCTGCAAGACCCGTATAACCCCCAGTGCTGGAGAAGCTACAGTACATACTACTCCATTTTCCTCGAAACAGTTCACCTACACTCAAGCTGCTAATCTGAAAAAGTATTTAGTTACACTATAAGTTACTAAGGAAAAGAAGATTCATTGAATCTATTTAAGGCAACAATTTGTTTTATACATAACTACAACATGCTTTTTTTTTTTTACAATCAGATCTAACAGAAATAATAAAGGTGTCAAAATGAAATGTACAAAAATATGAACACTAAATATAACTAATATGACTTGAAAACTCCCTAGTTTATGGAACTATCAACATAACATTCTAATAGAAGTATTTAACTAAATATTTTGAGTGCTAGCATGTGGTTTTGAGAACTTTATTCTTATATATAATACATATAAGAATTATACATAATAAAATTTATACATATATTGCATTAAAAGTAATTTTTAATATAACTACTTTAAACTACTGTGTTATTTGTTTACTATTATATGATTTTATTAACATTTTGAATTAGCTTTATTTCAATATTTTCAGTTTTCAATTAAATTTGAGGTTTTAGTCATTTTATTATGTGCTTTTGTTATTTTTTATTCGTTTTTTAAATATTTATATTTAGCTTTATTTTTATTTCAGTTAGTTTTAGCCATTTCAGTACTTCAACTTAAAACTTATTTCAGCTAGTTGACAAGGCAACATTTCCAATTAAGATATAAGTGTAATTATTATTTATTAATCATTTTATTTAATAATTTATTAATAAAAATAGCTTTATTTTATTTTAGCTATTTTTTAATAGTTTAGTTTTAGATAACAATAACAACACTGCTATTGAATAAAATGTATTAATCTCACATCATCATCTTGGATGGTAATTTTGCAATGCATTCTTGTATTTCTCAAAGGATACAGTAGTTCCAAAAGGTTTTCAGACACTGCAGTCACTCTTAAGAATATGAATCTGCAATACATAGCAAAATATCAAAACCTAGTGAAATTTATTGTGAAGAAAATAAATAAAGCACAAGCTGGTAAAACATTTCATGGAGAAAAAAAACACAAAAAAAACAACCTTTTTAGGTTTGAAATATATAGGCTATTGTTCATTAAGCCAAGAATAATTGGGACAACTTCTCAATTTCACTCTGCTACAGAGCTTTCTGCATCATATAAAAAATGGGCAAAGTAGCATTATGTTATACTAGGCCTACTCTTGCAGAAATCTACATGGTTTTGAAACAGTCAAGCTACTGTCTCACATTTAAAAAATACACTCAAGTAAGTACTGTTGCTACTAGTTACAGTAGCTACATCTCAACACTAATAACTCTGAGTTCACCGAGCTCGGAAATAAAGACTCTTCACACATTGCATTCAAACTAATTTTTCACTCTGAAAAATATCACATCTCATGCCCGCCGCTAGACACTTCTCATTGAGTATCACACAACAAATCATTAGTGTATGGAGCGTTTCATTTCCGGCTCAGATAATAACGCAGCTATTTATGCAGGGGTGCAGATGTGCAGAGGAGCGAGGCAGAAATGAAGAGTTGGCATTTCGCTAATGTACTGCCTGTCGTCTGGTGCACGTGAGGAGAGGGGTTGGCGTCTAAAAGTGGAGACGGATGGCACAACGAGCGCTTTGGCCCCGTGCCTGCATCTGCCTCGCAAATGCGCCAGTCAAACAAATGGGAGAAATCATGGCAGTCCCATTCAACAGATCCTCGGCTAAAAATAACGAGCCCGCGACAGAAACAGACCTTTGTTACCGAACTGCAGACGAGGTGCTAATTGAGCTAAATAACACTTTGATGATGCTGTCTTTGTGACCTTATGAGTAAGCACAGCTGCATTCACATATCTATGGAGGGGGGGAAAAAACCTGACATAGACAGTACTGGCTGCATATAAATGGGTATTTAAGATGGAGCCAATCACAGGGTCTCTCGGCAAACTATCTTGATTGGACAGCTCAGCCACTCGCCCGTGAATGATCGTTCAATTGCTTATTTGCTTAAAAGCAATTATCTGTATTGATGCTCATGCGGTGTGTCCTTTAAGGACATAAATGTGAGATAAACACAATCTATGGTCCTTAATCAGGTGCGGCCAAATAATCAGGTCTGGGGATTAGAGGAGTGGGTTGGGGAGTACAGGAAGACCTTATAGAAAGCTTCCACGTCCTTAATGATCCCATCCGAGCTCATCTAAAGCAACAGCAGGGCCTATTCATATGCCTGCCAACTCCTGCTGTCATATGCCTGTAAAGCCCATGACGTTCACAGCCATAAATCTAAATGTCTACTTAAAAAACAGCTCTGTTGCAAAAGTCTACAAAGGCCAACCTTACATACAATGTGTTCCATATGAACCTTTTCTAAGGTATTATGGTATTGTAACCCGTCTAACTGTTTTTGAATACAAGAAAACATTTTGCTTGAAGCAGTGTTATTATTGTTAAAACAACTACAATAAAAACTAAATGAAAACATTTTTTTGCTACCTTGAATAAACATAGCAACTAACATAACTGGGAAAAACTAAAACTGCAAAACTAAATGAAATAAAAATGTTTTTGATACATGGTACATTATAAAACTTATTGAAACCTAAGAAACTAAACTAAAACTAAGAATGATAAAGGCAACAAAAGGCAATAAAATTGAACAAAATTTTATTAAAAATTTTATTAAACTAAATTAAAAAGATGCATTGAAAATAAAAAAGAATTAATAGAAAGAAATTAAAATTTAAAAACCAAGGAAGCCAAGTGAGGCTCTTCCATTACCACTCACAGAATATTTCAAGTTAGTCTGGGGCTAGCATGTGGCTAAGCTAACATCTTCATGCTTAAAGAGCAAATAAAATGCATATAGCACACATACTGCATGAATTAGTCGCTTTTAATTGGATCAAATTAGTCTGAAGTGCTGAATAAATTATATTAATTGTCAAATGATACTAGAAAAATATCATAGTTCATGTGATGAACTAAAACTTTGGCTACTCTGCTTGGGGAAATTGGCTTTACACAACACAATTCATTAACATCTCCAGGTGGTTAAAAGTCATTGCAAAATGTCTCAGAATTGCGAAGTTAATTCTGGAAAAAAAGGTCTATTGTCACTTGATTTGATATTTTTATCTAGTGCAATATCTTCAAATATAAGTCTGCAAGTACTTTTTGTTGCCACTACATACAGTGCTGACAAAACATCCTTCAAGTCGAGATGTCAAAAAACAGTGCAGTTCACTAGATCTTGGAACATAGCTAACCAATGTTCACAGAAAGAATTGACATAAGATCATGTCACAAAATCATGTAAGACAAAAGCTATCTCCCAACAATAGAAAGAAATATAACCATCCCTTTCTTCACAGTTAAATATAGATCAACCTCAGATGGTTTTATTTAAAATCTTATTGCATTCTAAGAGAATCCTATCAGCCAGACATTTGAATTCAAATTCACTTATCAAAAATACGACAACGTGTCCTGCCATGCACATCGCCAAAACACATCTTTTTCAGTAATATATGAATATTACAAAAAGTTGTCAAACTTCAGGTGTTTGCCTTTCTCCGGAGTTATTTTCCCTACACTGCTCAGACTTCATGTTTCCATTTATACCACTCTTTAAACCACACAAGGATGTGCACAAGCAGCAGTACTTGAAATTCAACCCCTAACATCTCTGGAATCTAAGATCAAGGTTGACAAAATCCAAGAGAGGAACAGAAATAGACAGAACTGGGAGAGGTGACGCGAGGAGAGACGAAAGTAGGGTTGAGGAGAGGTGAGAAGAGGAAATGCCTGAGAGAGAGACAAAGGGATGAGAACAGAGGAGGTACGACGGGTATAGCTGATCACTGTGTCAGCAAAAAGAGAAAAGTAACTTATTAGGAGAAAGTGTGAATAAACCGGTGAGATGGGGATAAAAACAAAAGTCTTACGAAACACTCAGCCGCGTCGTCCATGATGCCCAGCTGGAAGCGCTGCTCGTCTTGGAAGGTTTTGGCCAGAGCGCTGCGCAGAGCGTCCGATGGGAGCACCTTTTCACTGCTGAACTGGAACTGGGCGAAGATGCTCTGAAACCACAAAGGGAAACAGCACCTCAAAGTAAGAAAGAGAAACTGATGCAACTAAGAAATGCTACCGCACACAACAGCTTTCGCCAGCCTGCCCGCTCACTGTGGAGAGAAAATACACATCAAGAGAGGAGGGCTGACATACTGTACTGTAAAAAACATTACACTGCAATTCAACCAATCACAGGCTCTGTTAGGACAAAACAATAAACAAACACACAGGCTGTTTCAAAACCTAGGGACTTGCCTACTTAGTCCTTATAAAGCATTTTTGTATATTATGGTCAACAATGCAGTCTAGCTACGTAGATCAGCAGGTTTTGAAGGACAGTAAACATGCCAACATGTCTGTGATAATATCAACAATGCAGTCTAACTAGGCAGCTCACTATGTTCTGAAGCAAAAATGCTAAAACTTGCCCAAAAATACTATTTAAGCAAGTTAATGCAATACTAGTTTATTTATTTAGCCAATTTTAAACAAAATAGTCATTCAAAATGGCTGACGTTAGCAGAATAAAGAGGAAAAATTCAAACAGTCCTTCTAAAAATGTTTAGGCAGCCGTGTACTAGTATGTCAAAATGTGTCTATGATGCCCAAAAATAGTAAGTAGGAAGCTACTTTTTTTTTTAGCAGATAGTGTTTTAACTTTTAACAGACTTGAATGTCCTAAAAAAGCCAAGAAAATGTTCTAGTGTGCCCACCAATTCAGTCTAAATGGGTAGCTCAGTACGTTTTGAAACACAGCAAATGTTCAAAAGTAGGCAGTTCACTAGACTTTTAAGCAGTTTATATTGGAACATTTCCAATAATTCTGAAAAATGTTGTCTAGGTAGGCAGCTCATTAGACTTTAAAACAGCTAATGTATGAAATTTCCAATAACATCCAAAATACAACACTACCAATTAAGTTTAGTAAGATTTTTTGTTTATGTTTTAAAAGAAGTCTCACAGTCACCACGGCTGCATTTCTTTGATCAAAAATACAAAAATACTTATGATAAAATAACTGTTTTCTACTTTAATATATTTTAAAATGTAATTTATTCATGGGATGGCAAACCTGAATTTCCAGCAGTCATTACTCCAGTCTTCAGTGTCACATGATACTTCAGAAATCATTCTAATATGGTGCTCAAGACACATTGCTTATTATTATCAATGTTAAAAACAGTTGTGCTGCTTAGCAATTTTGTAGAAACCATTCAGTATTCTTTGATAAATAGAAAGGTCCAAGAGAACAGCATTTATTCGAAATAAAAATCTTTTAAAACATTATTAATGTCTTAACTGTCACTTTTGATCAGTTTAATGCATCCTTGCTGAATAAAAGTATTACCTCCTTTCCAATAAAATAAAATCTTCCCTATCCCAAACTTTTAAAAGGTAGCGCAAGTAGAAGCTCATTAGTTTTTAAACAGAGTGAGTTTTCAAATGGGCCCAAAAATGTTATCTAGGTAGGTGAGCTCACAAGGTTTTAAAACACTGTGGACATTTGAACATTCCTAAAAGCTGTATGTACAGAAAGCTCACTGCGTTTTGCAACACAGCCATGCATACAAACAGATTTATGCCAACTTCTTCAAAACATAAAATTGTGTGGAGTCTCACACTACTCATTCGATTGGACAAGCTCATCCCTGTAGCACCGGTTGGAAAACATCTAACTAAGATACTGAGCTCATTAACAGTGAACGCTTAAACAGTCCTAAATGCCTGCGGTGGAATCTATTCTCCTGTCCATCAGCATTGGCACTGTTATTGAACTCAATGAACAATGACTGCAACACAATGCTCTCTCACCAGAGGACATCCTGATAAGCTGAACAAATGGACTCGGGCAAAACTCACAGTGCAAAGGCAAATATTCGCTGCGGCTGCAAAGACACACACATACTGCAGTTTTAAAACCCTCATATATGCAGTAGGCACAGTGCCCAAGGCAGCCCCCTATTTGAAGGTGGGATGGGGGTTTCTCCCTGAGCGGGACAGGCCGGTGGCTCTGGAAACAGGTAATGCAGTGTGATGACTGCACTGCGCCAAGGAGAGAAAGAAAGAGAATGGAGGGAGGGTGGAAGAAAATGAGAGAAAGTGTGGGAGGGACAGACGTAGAGGGTTATGTACCCCACTGAGGAAACTCGATGAGAGGAAAATTCAGCCACTGCATCATTTCCCCATGCAGCTCTAATCACACACTGCTCTGCCCAGCTAAGAGCCTGAAGTGATTTTCGCTTATGGACATATTTTAATGTCCTCTTCCTTCCCCATCTTTCTCTCTCTCTCTCTCTCTTGGAGCTGATGAAACACTCAGGACAGATAAGGGCCAATTGGAAGTCTGGTGTGTGTACGCAGCAAATATATCACTCGGGCAATCAGTGCTCAACCAAACTGCAGCTCTGTTCCGTTCTCCTCAGCGAGAGTGGGACAGCAGCACACGCCCTCACATGCTTGCAAGTTGCGACAAACTCTGAGCTCAGAGCTGATGTAGGAGAAAAAAAGAAGAAGAAAAAAACCAACAACTGTTGAACACAAGTTTTGTGTTCTTAGACAAGCAAAGTCTTTCTGACTTGTAAGGGTGGATTTCCTGCAGGGGTTCAGGCTGCAAGACTGCCGAATGACTAAAGAAACGTTGTAAGATGGTAGAAAACTGTACATTTCTTGTCTATTACCACCCACTGCTACTTACAACGACGGAAATAAGCGCAGTTGCAATAGCTTAATATGTGGGAGAGCGTTGCTATAGAGAATAACGATATTGTATTGCACTAGGTAACACTTCAAAGTCAATACCAAATCAAAACTAGTTAGCACATTATTTGTAATTGAAAGGGTTTAATGACAATATGGTTATGGTTACACTTAAAATAGATGTATTTTAAATAGATGTAAATAGATGACAAAATAGATGTATGAGATGATAAAAACTTATCCCATTAATTGTACCCAGCATATATGTATAATGTTACCTGAGAGATAAAAAGAGAGTGTAGAGAGTAAGAGAGAAAGAAATGAGGAGGCAAAGAAAGAGTGCCCCAAGAATGGGAGCCAGAGAATAAAAGAGACAGAGCAACAGTTACAATCTTCTTTTATCCTTTCCCTGACCATGTGCTAAAACCCAAATGTGAGACGTTCAAACTGAGCAATCAGATAATTAAAACTTCCCCCACCGTACTAAAGGTGTGGTAATTCATAGACCCCTGAAGTACACACATTTGGCCTACATGCCTTGATCACTATCTGTGCATTTAGAAACTCCAAATGGTCATTGGGGTAAGCAAGAGGGGGTTGAAAACAGTAAACCAAATGTCTTTGTTCATTTTCAAATATCTTGGATTATTTTCAATCCTACAGACTGACATAAAAACTCAACCTATCACAATTCGTTATGTTATATCTGAAGTGTCAGTGCTCGCCTGTGACCGGCTGTACTGAAAACATTGAATAAATGAGTGAGAATGTGCGTAGACTTTATAATCAGAATTTCTGTCAAACCAAAAGTAATATTTCCACTGAAAAAAGTGCTTAAACCAGTCTAAACTGGTTTGCTGGTCTTAGCTGGTTTAAGCTGGTCTAAAAGGGACGGGTATACTTAATGTTTCATGTTATTCTCCGTCTGGAGCACAGTTGAGCACACAAGCCTATACAAAGTATACTCTGTCTACTGAACATGTATGCGCTGTTTTCTGCGCAGACACGAAAATAGAGCTGCATACAGACAGTGTGCGAGGACATCAGCAAACTGTGCTAATGTCGAAAATCACATCACGTGGAGTGTCCATAAGCCAGAACGGAACGCAGACATGGTACCACTTTTTGCTTAAAGCCGTGACACACCAAGTCGACTGTCGGGTCATCGTTTAACGCATTTCAGCCTAGTTGAGGTATGTGCCGCACCATTGGCACTAGTTGGACCCAACTGCGGCTTTTCAAACAATTGAGCGTGTTGAATTGGCAGCAAAGCCCATCGAGGCAAGAAATCACTCTGATTTGCTGTTCTTGGAAAAATGGAAGTGATAAAATGACAAAATAGTAAGCAAGTGTATATACAGTTTGTAAAACCAAAGTCTTATTTCTTCTGATTTCCCTTTTTAAATGACAAATACAGACTACTGCCACTTGCAGGCATGAAGAGTTACTTCCTTTCAACCAGGTTCAGAACATTCGTGCTAGCTGGCTGTTGGCTGTAGTTTTTGCGATATTCCAGCTCAACTTTTTGGCCCAGACACAGGCAATGTGAGGCAACAGTCAGCTTTTGACACCGCTAGTTCTTTGATATCAGTTTGATTTGTCTGGGCCTTTATAGTCCTGGCCAATCAGGTCTACAGCTTGTCTATTGTCTCCCAGTCTGGCCAGCTGAAGAGGGCTCAAAACCTCTTTAAAATAAGCAACAGACCAGCCTAACCAGATGTGGAGACAAGTATACTATAGGCAGTTTTCTCAGCAGGGATAAACTGATTATTTTACAGAAATAATTCAAACATTGTGGAATATTCAGTTCTGCTCATGGATATCTAGTTAAAGGATTAGTTCACTCCAAAATAAAAATTTCCTGATAATTTACTCACCCACGCATGTCATCCAAGTCTTGTCTTTCTTTCTTCAGTCAAAAAGAAATGAAGGTTTTTAAGGAAAACATTCCAGGATTTTTCTCCATGTAGTGGACTTCAACGGAACCAACGGGTTGAAGGTCCAAATTGCAGTTTCAATGCAGCTTCAAAGGGTTAGGGTTACACGATCCCAGCCGAGGAATAAGGGTCTTGTCTAGCAAAATGATCTGTCATTTTCTAAAAAATAAATAAATTAACCACAAATGCTTGTCTTGCACTAGCTCTGCGATGCGCGTCCACGAGTGACGTAGGCGGAAGTACGAAAAACTCTCATCTCATTTTCTCCTCCAACTTCAAAATCATCCGACATAGTTGTTTTACGTTTTTTTTTTGTAAAGGGCATTTGACTTAGTCTTTGCACGTTCACTTTGTAAACACTGGGTTGGTACTTC